GGGCTAGCAGACCTGGGTGGTTCGAATATTACTTTACCTCAAGTTATTTAACATCCCTGACAGGTTGTCGCTAAATCTCATCTATAAAAGAGGAACAGCAATACTTACCTGGCAGGACACTTGTGAGGACGGCAGGAGAGTAAGGTGCTCGCCACGGCTGGACGTGCGGGCTCCTCACCAGTAGCAGCCGGCACTGCCAGCACTTCCTGTTCTAGACTGAACTTAAAAAAGAATCATTTTGCCCAGATACGACAGACTTTTTTATTTTTTTAACAACAGGCTTCTAAACAGCATTTTTGCCTCTACACTGACTATGGCAGGTTAACATGCCAGTAAGTAAGAGGCGCTGATTTTACGTTCCAGCAATGAGTGTATGGAAGCTTAGTGTATCCAATGTCAAGGTGAAGACTAAGCCACCAGGCCCCAAACGCCCTTCCCAAAGGTTTTAAATAAAATACACTAGTTTCTCCTACTCCATTATTTTATGTATATACACACACACAGTTTTTTATATATACGAATAGTTTTGGGAGTTTTTTTTGTTTTAAAATGAAGCACATCGGGGTGTGGGGTGGTTTCTCACAGCCTTAGTAATGAAACTCAAAAGGGTTTATTTAGGGAGAACAAATGGTTCAAAATAACTTCCCTCAGGCCAGCCCGTGGTTCACTCGGTAGAGTGCGGTGCTGATAACACCAAGGCCATGGGTTCGGATCCCATATAGGGATGGCCGGTTTGCTCACTGGCTGAGCGTGGTGCTGACAACACCAAGCCAAGGGTTGAGATCCCCTTACCGGTCATCTTTTAAAAAAAAATAAAAATAAAAATAACTTCCCTCCTTGCCTTGCTCACCCACCCTCTCCTGCCCCCTTTTTCCTTTTACTTCCGGCCTTCTTTTGAAGAAAGAGTGGGAACAGCCCCGTGGGCATCGGTGCCCACACGGTTCTCCATTGGAAGCAGCCCCTGGACGCTGGCTTGTGCCGAGGCCCCGGGCAGTGCCTCCTGCTGGCCCGTGGCTGCCTGACCTGCAATCCCTGCTAACATGTGCAGTGACATCCGCAGGCAGTCTTCTGCCTTGCTGACAGTCCCACTCTAAACCTCAGATGAGCGTGCATGTCCTCTGTCCCTCACTCCATCTCGTTCCACCTCTGCTACTGCTGCCGTGCAAGGCTGCAGCCAAGCGCGCTGGCGACAGGGAGGAGACGCGGATGGGAGCGAGACGCCCCCAGCCACGGGCCTCAGTACCGACGGCGGGTCCCGCCGCAGTGCTCATCACTCTTGCTGTGCAACGCCTAAGTATGCGTGCGCATCACCTGTACACTGGTGACAAAGCACATAGAAAGCGGCGACTTTCAGCTGTCAGGTAGGTGAGATGCGCCCGCTGCGGGAGCAGCTGCCTGTGCAGCACGGCCCTGTGATGCAGAGCTGCCCCGTGGCCGTGAAGCGTTGCGGTCTTGTTTCTATTTTATTGTGGGAAGAACACAACATGAGCCACACTCTTGACAATTTTTTCTTTCTTTTTATAAAGTTTGTGTAGCTCCTCTTTATTTTTATTTTTGTGGTGGCTGGCCAGCACGAGGAACCGAACCCTTGACCCTGGTGTTACAAGGCTGTGCTCCGAGCTCACCTGCCAGCCTTGACAAATTTTTAAGTATACAATACTCTAAAGCTTTTGTTTTTTTTTAAAGCTGTAAATTTCATGAGATTCAGAGGCCAACATCCGTATTTTGATGAAACCTAAAACAGTTCTTAACGAGGGATATTCTGAACTTCCCAGGACTAAAATTTTCCACAAAGGCCAGCTTCTGACCTGCTTCAGATGTTCCTGTGATTGGCAGCAATTAAACGGAAAATTCCAAACTGTGCTGGCTCCAAGCATGCCACAAGTCCAGGCCCAGACACCATGACCCCCACCTGACCCTGCACACAGGGGTAAGCAGGAAACAGCAAACTCATTTTGCTCCGAGAGGGCAATAGGGAATTTTCTGAGGTCAAATCGTCCTTGGATGTGTGAAATAGAGGTACAAACCTAGATTTACTTACTTAGTTCCAGACACCATGACCCCCACCTGACCCTGCACACAGGGGTAAGCAGGAAACAGCAAACTCATTTTGCTCCGAGAGGGCAATAGGGAATTTCCTGAGGTCAAATCGTCCTTGGATGTGTGAAATAGAGGTACAAACCTAGATTTACTTACTTAGGTTCTCATTACTTGCTCTTAAGTGTGATTTTGGTGCTTAAAAATAGCTACCTAATTGCTTTGCCAAGGCCAAGGTCACCGAGATGGTGACAGACAACAGCACTCAACTCGCCCACCCAAATTCCCCATCTCACAGTCCCTCCCAGGCTTAAAGGAAAATGAAGCTGGAGCGTGAGAAATTAACAAACATTTTTTCCTGGAGTCAGAAACTGAGGTCACAGGATAGAGGCTGTCTTCCATCCCTGTCAGTCTAAAGACAAAAAGATGAGAAGAGTGGAATCTAAGAGAATTAAAAGTTGTGAAATGCTAAGCGGCACCTGCATTTTGCACACCGCGCATGCTCACCTCCTTCTTTCCCACTTCAATTGGTCAAAATTCAAAACAGAAAAAGCTGAACAGAGGGAGGGAAAGGAAGGAAAGAAGCAAAAGTGGTTCTATCCGATCCTCACGCTCGGGAAGAGCAGCAGGTGGGGCATGTCCGTCTGTCTGTCCTACAACTTCTGCTCTCCCGGGCCATGTTGCCCCAGAAAAAAACATCGTGTGGACAGCACCTCCACAGGCACTCGCCATCTGTGAGAAGCCAGGTTCTGAGAGTGACTCGGGCTGCCTCTGCATTTCCCCACCGCGACTGTCCAATCACGCCATCAGAGTAACGAGCAGGCGGATGTTACACACTGCCCTCAAGGTTTATGAAATCAGACAGCATTCGTTCTCCTAAGATCATTCTTATCAAAATACCCAGAAAACTGCCGCAGTATAATTGTGATCTGTAATTACTGGTGACAATGGTGCAAAGAGAAGAATACAGCTTGATTTTCAAAGCCTAACCCTGAAGAAGCCAGACAATCAAAAACTTGTTTTGACTAGTTAAAATGAACAAACTTGACACAGAAGTCACAAAGGAAAAATCTCAGAAGGAAAATATATTCAATCGGCTTGATTCAGCATTTCTCAAATATGTTAGAAGCTCAAAGTATAGGCGAAAGATCTTTCAGAATCAGAAGGCAAGGCCAAAATTCTGAAAATGGCTGAGTGTGAATTCTGGGAAGGAATGGTCTCCCAGACCACACAAGTCCAGAAGGGAAGAATTCTTCACCTTTGGTTCTGTAGATCTCTGGTTTAGGTGGATAAATTCCAAGGCAGTACCGGAGCCCACACATCCCTATCTGAGCGCTAATGTGCTACTCAGGCATCTGGGCTGATGTGATTTGATGTACCTGAAGACCATGGAACTAATAAGGTAGATTAAGTAGTGAGCTTTTAATGCCAAAAAATATAAAGTCTTGCAAAAAATGTATTTAAACAGGTCAAAACAACTTTGGTAACATTTAACCTGTTTTATGTTAGGTCTCATGGAGACTTGATTTTGAAAATCTGCAGTAAATCAAAGTCCCCATTTCAAAAAATGAACAGAAAAATATGCCTATATTACCATAACGTTATTTTTCAGAAGGAATCCTTTAATAATTCAGACATGTATTATTTCACAAAAAACATTTTCTAAAAATCATTTCAGAAAAATCAGGAAAGATGCCCTCATTTTTTCTCCCTCATTTGCTAAAGTCATCTTCTGTCCATTTTGTTACCATTACTATCTTCTGCAGTAGTCTGGTGTATATGTGAATTGGTTAAGAAATCCTGATGATCCGAACCCCATGCAAAGAACACAGAAAGAAGCTCATATACAACTTTCTTCTTTTCTTTGGACAGCTTTCCTGCCCACATTATTACGATATTTAAAATTTCTGGAATTACCTTCTAAGATCACTGAAACGAGAGTCAATAGCTCCATTTCATCCTGAGCATAGAGGCCTATAGCAACACTTCCATTTGTAAATAAGCAGAAATAGACTCTGTGACAAGTAAATGCAAGATTACATTTGAAGGCATAACTTTGTTATTTTCACTACTGGAGGGGAAGGTAATCTCAATATAAGCATTCTTTTTCTCCGTTGCTGAAATCTGTCACCAGCACCCTGTTGTATGTCAAAGGCTGTAATAGTAGAAGACTTTTTGGTGTGGTTCTTTAAAAGGTTGGTTTATACTATATTCTTGAATGAACTAAGTCTCTTACCTAACCCATTTTTAATTTCAGTTATCAATTTGCAGCGCAAACCTTTCTGTCCATTTTATATGGGCTAGATCTCAGCCGCAGCTCCCTCTCCAGCCCGTCAACACATGCTCTGTAAATGCAGACGTGCCCAGCAGCCATGGAAGCCGCCGTCTCCCTCACAGCTCACAGAAGTTATAGGTGAATTACTGTAAAAGAGATGAAGTTTATTATACACAGCAAACTATACGTTTATTATATGTATTCCTGATAATTTATTTAACCTGACATGTTACTATACTCTGCTAGCCTGCTATGAGTATTCCAAACTCAACATATCACAGTGATCCCTTTTTAAGCTATTTGTAGCCTGTCTTAAGGACCAGGTTAGCAATATACTAGCAAGAACATTTCTGTATCATTCCTGATGCCAAATAATGACAACAGAACTTCCCATGTATTCAGTGAATTTTTAACTGGGGAATTTCAAATTATTCATAAGCAGTATCTCCTTTTTCATAACTGGATAAACACACACAGTTACGAAACTGGATGGCAACAAAACTCAAATGCACAGAACAAAAGATGTCTACTCAGGAAAAGCAAATTTTATTCTTGGGATTATCAGAAACTTCTAAGAACCCCTAATTTATCCCCATCGGAAAATATGCCCTGTGCAACATGAAAAGTAAAAGGAAATTATTTTAGAAGAAAGAATTCCATATAACACAACATTTTAACACAAGCAGACTCAAGTGGTTAAAAAAAAGTTTATTAATACCTTAGCATTTAATATCTGCAAAATGTTCATTATTTAAACATGCTAAAACATGTTTAATCATGTTTAGATTCTAAAATGTGCTGTAAAAAATATTAAAGAAAAAAAAAATGTGCTGTCAACGTGAAACAGTGCGTTCAGCCCTCTGCAGCAGGAGACAGACTGTGCTGCCTACCCAAGACTGGAGAGACACAGCTGTACCTCTCACGACTCCCCTAGCCCCAGAAAGAAAAGATTCCAATCACAGCATATTCATTTAAAAAGTGTTCTAATACAGTGATCAGATGTATCAAATGTAAACATTGCTCTCCCCTTTACACTATTCTCTAAATTTGGCCAAATTAAGTATTTGATATAAAAATCCTGCCAAATAGAAAGATCCCCACAGGACCTCTGTGTGGCAGACCCTCTGGCATTCTCTTGCCTTAGCAATCAGGTCAAAATAATGATGATCTAAAAAGAAGCCTTTCCCTCCTCCAATTAGCAATTCAAAAGTTAGGACTTTAGTAAAAGCAGTTGTAGCAAAAGGAAACACACACTACACACAAACACACTCCACAATCACAGCAACTTTCATATCTGAGGCCACTGAATTACATTCCAAGCAGATAACTTAATGATAGCTCTGCTATAAAAAGTACCAAGTGGAGTGCTCAAGCAAGGATATTTCCCTTCAATATAGGAGAAAAAACAGCAGCTAAAATTTTAAAATTTACTCTATAATGAAATCAATATTAACTCTGAAACTAAGACACTGAAAATTTGCACTGCTTTGCTGAGACAAGGTCCGTCCCCGCCCCGGGGAGAGTGAGCTTTTTCCATGACAACCTGATGCCACTTTTAGTCTCCCAAACCTTTATCTCCTTGAGAACCTGGAGCTTGAGTGGCTGCAGAAGCATATTTGATTTCAATAATAAACTTAAGGTATAATCTTTCATTTTCCCCTGAAAGATTAGTTGCAGAGGACACAAACGATTCACAATAAACTTTTATGTTCCAGGTGATCATCACCAATACACAAGTTTGAGAAAGTACTATGGCCATATATATTTGCTTTAAAAAATTTGATTATGACAAGCTTCAAGTAAAAATCATTTTTAAAGTGTCCATTTTTCATTTATATATAACCGATACATCTTATTTACATATATATGAGTGAATTTTTATTCAACTTTCTTCATATAAGCTCTATATTTTAACTGGTAGATAACAATTAATATGTATACTGTTTTTATAGAAAGACAAAATACTCTCTTATTCACAGACAGTTTCGATGATGCTAGTGTGTTTCCACATTGAGAACTGGATACAGTTAAAACCTTAATGAATAACAAAGACTAAGATCTAGTATCAACATCTTGTCTACAGCCACATCACTTCTTTAAGGAGTCAACTGCCTAGTCTGCATAAATAACAGATGGCAACAAAACATAAAGCAAAAATGATTCCAAAGACCTTAAAAAAGAACTTTGACTTCTAAGACCACTGCTTAATGCTGCTATTGATGTGAAATTCTTATACTGGGTTCATTTCTTCCTTTCAAAAAACTGTTTTTCCAGTGATATTTAACTTTAAAAAGGTATCTCCTAGTTCTTTAACTCTTTGCAAATTGATATATTTAGGCAATCAACAAAAAAAATAATCAGAAGCATGTATTTTTGCCCATAGTCTCCAAAGGGCTGAAGCGTAAGAATTTTGTATAAACTGTTAGGTAAGGCACCCTATTCCACTTTTTTCTTAAAAGAAACTTTTTCTTTGGTTTCTTGCAGTTTTTCAGTGAGTCTATCCTTTGTTTCCTCCATTTTCTCCGTGATAAGCTCCTTTGTTTCTTCCACCCTGTCCTGTAGATACTCCTTAACAGGCGGTGGTGTCGACATGTAGCCACGACTGCGCAAGTACTTCACAGTAAAGGATGTTCCTCCCAGGGTCACCATGTATCGGGCAGGTGTTGCAATCTTGAGAAAGCAAACAGAGACAGATCAACTATGACTACTGCCTTATGCAAAAACAGATGAAGTTACAATTCTTGGTAATAACCAACCAGTATAAATTACTTTATTGTTTCACAAGGCTAATGTAACAACATCCTATATGGTTTCCCCTCCTAACAAGAGATGCTTCTTCTGTAAACTCATCTTACAAATGTTTTTCCCTACACAACCCAACCCAGGGTTACAGAATTATCACAGTCAGCAGTACCCATGTCCCAAACCACATGATAGTGAACCCGAGGGGCAGGTTCATCCAGAAATCAGAAAGAGGGCTCGGAACTCTACCAATTTGCCAAACACTTTATATCTGTAGCTAAACTAGAATGAAACTTCTTCAAATGGTGAGAAGCAAAGAATGAGTCAAACGTACATTCTTTGCTGAATTTAGTTCAGCTTCACCTACAAATCCCTTTCCTTTGACTTTTCCAGGCCTTATGCTACCTTCTCACTACAATCCACTCTGAGCCTGGAATCCCAGCCAGGAACATTTGTGTGGCCCAAAGTGGTAAAATGGTAGACATGCTGCAGACACGCACATGTGTAATGCTCAGCAGAGACCCAAGGACCAAAATGAAATAGTAGAGGAACTGGTCGAAGAGAAGCATAAAAGCAAGAGGCTGCAAGACATTTTGAGGCAGAATCGTAGGTGCGCTTCTACCCAAACTCTCTGAAGGCCTGTCTGTGCTCTAGCTGCCATTCTTCTCCAGCTTCCTCTAACCGAGCTTCCAGCACTGCCTCTCCACCAAAACTGCTCTTCTCAGAGTTGTCCAGTTGTAACCAGCCCCAGAACCACGAGGACCACCTGAGACAGCTTTGCACTCTCTGTGCTCAGAGCTTCATTCATGTGGCTGCCGGGACCCCACTTGCGTGGCTTTCTTCCAGCTCACAGCTCCCCTCTTCACCTGTGCACACGCCTCCCTCCTCACCCACCCCTGGACACAATGTGACAACACTCAGTCCCTGGACCTCTTCTTTCCTCCACCTACCTCATTCCCCTGGTAGTTTGTCCAGTTTCGTGTCTTTAGTGCCATCTATTCATGGATGATTCTTTAATTTTTCCCTGAATTCCAGTGTATCCAGCCAACTACTCATTTCCACTTGCTTGTCTCACAGGATATCAAAACTTAATATGTTCAATACTTGTCTCCTGATCTTCTACTATCCCATTCCAGACTTGTTCCTCTCAAAAGTCTTCCCAATCTCCGGAAATGGAAACTCTATTCTTCCACTTGCTGAGACCAAACACCTACAAGATGGCTTCAATGCCTCCCTCTTACATCCAAACCATTAGAAAACACCATCAGCTCCTGCTTCGAGATATATCCAGAATCCAACTACTTCATATCGCCTCTCCGGCTACCACCTGGGTCCTGTCCACTATCACCTCCCACTGAAGCTACCGCAATAACCTCATACCAGGTCCCTCAGCTTTTACCATGGCCCTGCTATGGTCTGTTCTCAATAAGGCAGCCAAAAGTGATTTTGTTGACAGATACCAGAAGCTTAAAATGTCCTGGTGGCTCTCCATGCCCCCAGGGTAAAGCTGAAGTCCTCGCCAAGGCCTCCAGGGCCACCCTCATCTGGCTCCACCCTCTGCCCTGCTTGATCATCTGTCTGGCTGTCCAGCCTCCCTGCTATCCCTCAGACTCCCTGTATCCTGCAGCCTCAGGAGCTTGCCTTGGGGTTTCCTGTGCTTGAAACTTCTCGCTGCCTAACCAACTCTCTCACCTTCTCCAGGAGGCCTTCCCTCTAAAATTGCAAACCTCCCCCAGAAAAACAAATACTACAAACACCTGGTTCATTCTTTCTTCTTAGCACTTATCGCCATCTAAATACACAAGTGTGTGTGCAGTTATTCTGAACTTTACCTCCTCCTTCTCTCCAAGTGCCTCCCCACACCACCCCATTCACTAGAATACAAGCCCCACGAGGGCAGGTATTTTGTGCTGTTCTATTTAGTGTATTCCCAGTACCTATAATGGCACCTGGTACATAGTAGTGGCTAGAAGAATTTAGTTGACTAAAACTATGGGTGCATTTTGAAGAGGTACAAAGGAGTTAATGAGTAAATGCCACAGGGCCACACTCACAAAATATTCTCTTCTCATCTCTGTCACACCTCATTTTGGGGCTTTACCTTGATGAAGCAGTAAATCTCTGTTTGTTGTTCTACTTGAGAAAATGAGAGGTCCAGAAAATACATAGGAGAATCCCCTCCACATTTCCCACCTTGCAGGTGAACAGTAGGAGAAGAAACACCACTGGCACTAATCTACCTACGTGTATAGCGCTTCATGTTTCAATTTCAACTCCACAAACACGTGCTGAGCAATGACTCACCTACAAAGCACAATACCAGGCACAGTGAAACACAAGAGAAAGACAAGACTCAATTCCTAGGAACTCATAATCAAATAAAGAAAAGAAACGCTAAAAAAATAAATAAAAGAGACTCTAATATAAACTGTACAAACCACAGCATCTTATGGGAGCAGTTAAAATTAGGGAAACGGTTTAAATCATCATGATAATAGTTTGATTAAGGTTAAATTATACCCGTTATAACTAGAAACTTGATAGTTTAATAATTTAATAGGTTTTAATGTAGAAAAACTCAGCAATTAAGCATTAGCCTTCTAGTCAAAATTACAATAGAAGAGGAAATCTCCCAAGATTTCAGAGGACAGTAATAAGGATGACAGAATAAAACAATGTTACTTTTAGTAATACTATAAAACCGTAACTCTAAGTATTTTTATACAACAGGAATAAAATAACACCTAGTTTCTAAATGTTTTCTACCTGTTTTCTTCTTTCTTAGGTAGACGCTTCATAGAGCCTCATGAGAATTTATCAATCAAGAAAATGAGATTAGCACAGCTAAATTCCACAATTTACAATGAGTCTTCTCTTCCAAAATAAAGACTCATAGGCGTAGAAACCATTTATAAAGACGTTGTCTGAACCCAGAGAGCAATTATAAAGACTCTAAACTTCTAAAATGAAACATATGTAACGATTAGCACAGCTAAATTCCACAATTTACAATGAGTCTTCTCTTCCAAAATAAAGACTCATAGGCGTAGAAACCATTTATAAAGACAATGTTGTCTGAACCCAGAGAGCAATTATAAAGACTCTAAACTTCTAAAATGAAACATATGTAACATGTAACAAATAAGTCTAAGGTTTATCACATAAAACAATTAGAATTAAACCTTCCTATCTTACTTGCTAAGAAAGGATGAGTAGTAAAATAAATGCTAGATTTTGCTAACAAGTCAGGTGGTGTGCAGCTCTCCAAAATAAGAAAAATAAATCTCGTATCAACGAGAAATGTCAAAAACATGACAACTACCCTGGAAATTTACAAGTCAAACATTTGTCTCATCACAGCAGGTTATGAATGATTTACCTATTTTTAAGGCAATTCTTTCTAAAACCAACATTTTACTTACACTTTAAAACTTCATAACCTTACTTTATTTATTAAAATATAATAGATGTTTTAAGTTACAAGAAACTAATGAGAGCTAGCATGGCACTTTTTGGGCAGTGTGCAGGTCAGATCTGAGGAGCAATGTTTGCAACAGTACCCACCTTAAATAGGGCATATGCTGTTAGTGCATTTCCACTCTGAGAGTTTTTCAGGATGCTTACTATGCTGTCAGGCAACCCAATGAGTTCTAGAAAAGGAACGACATTCACTCCTCTATGAAAAAAACAAAGTAATTTACATATATACAAACTTTTAAGGATATTTTCAAAAGATTATCTGAAAACACCAAAACCACAATTTACTATAGTTTGCTTCTGCATGTGGGCATCCTAATTAGTATATTTTGAAAACAGAAGCATTTATCAGAGTAAAATTAACAGCTTTAAGTAAACTATGGGAAAAGGATTAAAATCACTGACCTGATCTTAGTTTCCTCAACCAAACCCCACCTCCCCTTAGAATACTCTAACTCAAATTTCAAAATGTAAGATTTTTACCTTTAAAATTACATGTCAAACTATACTATTATTGTAAAAGAAAGGGTTATTTTAACATCACTTATTGTGTTATTATTCAAAGAATAAATGATTCTATGGGCTTGATGAAACTTCGATTTCATCAGAACATCCACTGTTTGCCACTTTCTATTATGAAGTTCCCACGATCTGACAGGAATGTGCTTCACAGACTACCAGCTTTACTGATGTTTCAACAGATGCAGAAGTACACAAGCACAAGCACATTCGCCATCTACACAAAGTGCAGTAAAAATCTGTCAGGATTTTGCCTCAGAGTGGATCTGTAAGTTTAGGAACTTGAGGCCCAAAACACAAGGCATCTAAATGCAGGGAACAACACATCATTACGGAGCCACATTTGAGCAAACAGAGCACTTCTGGTCAGAAGGTATAAGATCTCTTCACATTTTTGCCAGATGGAAGCAGCAACAAAGCTCTGTTTAAAATAAAATCTAGTAGGTATGCACAATTTAGATCCCTCTGAAATAAAATATTTAAAAAGCCTGAGAACTTTGTCACTGAGGTAGCTAAATACAGAGTGACATTTTGCTCCATGGGGCCTCGAAAGGCAGTACTGCTACCTGTGGTCATAACCGGATAGACAACTGGCCAGTGAGGCAGTGTGACGTCAAATGCCTGTCCTGCCAGCTCCAAACTATTTTTTTCCCTTTCTTTTAATAGTAGGTAGGCAACAAGCAAATAACAGAGAGCTTTTCCCAGATAAGACAAAACCAAAAAAAAAACTTGAAATATAGCTAGCCTCGTCAGTTGAATTGAAAACCTGTATTTAATACAATCAATTTCAATTTTACAGTAAAATCATCTCATAGTGAAAGATGTTCTGCCATTTGAACACATCTTAATTCTTTTTTCTTTCATCCATGAATTTTATTTTCTAAGTACTGCTTATGATGAAGATCTTCACTTAGAACAAATCAATTTTCAATTTATGAAGTATTAAGGATTTCATAAAAACATTGAGGAGGACTGTTCTGAAAACATCCTGCGTAATATAAACGAGCAATGTGACGCTACAACAGAACTGGCCGGGTAGCCGCAGCTGAGCAGCAGTGGTGGTCTGGCAACCAGATTCCCATGCGGACAAGCAGCCCCAAAGCAAGTCAGGATGGTAAGGGATTCCGCAGAAAAGTGGGGGAAGGATAAAACTAAGAATCTTATCTGCAATTAATTAAAAACCCTGATTTTTTTCCTCTAAGCCCAGGAAGGCTGAGTGTGTAAGGGCAACTTAAGGAGGTCAGAAGAAACAAGTGCGACTCGTGTCATCTGTCACAAGACTGGCTCGAAAAAGAAAACTTAATATATAGAAAGCCATTCTTTAAATAGCAGCACTGAATGCCTATAATAACTTTTATTCAAAATGGTACACAATATTATGTTCTGTCAAAAAACTAAGGGCCATTTCGAAGACTTCTCTAAATATTAAACATGTCCAGAAAATGTCATTAGTAAACAAAGAAATAAATCCATAAAGTGTACACACAAAGATCTTCTGGAAGGGAAGATACAATTCTTAAAGAAAAAAATAATATACAATTAAGTATATAATTGAATAACAGGAACATAACGGAAAGATATGAAGAGAAATAGAATAGCATCAATCACATAAGTGTGAAGAATATAACTTACCTTAAAAGAAAGGAACAGTATAGAACAAGAAAGATCCATTTAGAAATTTTTACGACACCAGGAGGCTAGCCCCACCAGACTGACTTCTGACCAAAAGACCTTAGTGTGATAGTTACTGGAAATAACACCAAAGCATAAGTCTGCAATGATTGCATTTTTGTGTCTACAACAGATAGTAGCCCAGCTCTGGCAAAAATATCTTACAAATTTCCCACCAAAACCACAGGCAAAATAGATAGCTTTTTACATTTACAAACATTCTAAGAAATACGTAAGTACAGAACTCATGGTGTTGTCAAATTTCTGAAATCTGATGTTTTATTTCAATGCTTTCCTGAATGTTGAGATGAGATCAGTGTAGTGATGAGAAGTGTGGCTTTGAGATCAGACAAACCTAACTGGGTTTCTAGTCCAGGCTCCACCTCTTACCAGCTGAGTTATTCTGTGAAAAGCTGAGTTATTTTTACTTCTCCTTGCTGAATATGTTTCTCATTCATAAAATAGGAACAACTGCACTACCTGCTTCATAGGGTTGCTGTGATGATTAGATAACACAGTTAAACTTAGCAAAATGCCTGCTGTACACAGTAAGCACATTAGCTAGTTATTAAAATGTGACACACAGCTATGAAAAGTAGTTATCCTCTATCGATGAAAGACATTAAAGCATATAAAAACTATTTAAGGCTATCATTGGTACGATTAAGATTAACATTCTGATAAAACAGGAAAAGGTGTTCAACCAAGAAAAAACTTACTTTATGGCTGCATAATAAAATGTTCCAAACCAAACTCCAGAAGTTATGAGGTGCACTGGAATCAAAACTTTTCCATATTGTCTAAATGTTTTCTTAAATCGTTGATACAGACTAATAGATTTGTCCTGTAAAGGATCAGGCTCTTCCTTTTTTTCTGAAGGAGTTCCTTGGGCTGTGGCATTGGAGGATAAAGCTTTCTTGGGTGAAACATCTTGCTCCCATCGTCTGTGGTGAAGGACCCCTAGCTGGGGTGGATGAGCATCCAGTGACTTCTTTTCCTTTGCAGCACAGTGGGTAGCAGGTAAGTGTAGCCACTGCTTTTGAGGACCATGTCCCCAAACCACTTTGGATTCAGCATTACACAAAAGTAATGGCCCCTTTATGTTTTGACAGTGTCCAAAAAGACCAGCTTTATGTGGTTCCAAGCACGTCTTGTGTGCCAGTCGAGATACAGTCCGTGGTACATTCCATTGCATTTTGAAGGATGCTGACAGGTTTCAGCTTCTATAGAAACTAGATTTTAAAAAATTAGGTTATACACAGGTTTCTGTTTTAAACCAATACGCTTAAAAATCAATCATTAACTACTAGAAAGTAAAAGGACAGTCATTGCTACCCAATCCACAGAAATTAACGTTAAGCTATACAGTTTTATCTAGATATCTAAAACATTGTTTTAAAAAGGCAGTATGACATAATTTTAAAAGAATGGTGACTTTGAAATAAGTAGACCCAACAGAGTTAAAAGTATTATTTTAGCCTCTCTAGACATAGGTTTTTTCCCCATGGCAGATGGAATTGCAGTAGCCACTACTTTATAGTAAATCCGTCCCCTTTCCTTAACAGCTGGCAGCACCACCTGCCCCACAAGCTCCACCCCCAACCCACACCAGCTACCTTACAACTTCTAACACGTTGAGAATAGGTTATTTTTTTAATGGCGTACTAAACAGGAATAAGATTTGAATTAGCACCCCAATAAATTAGCACTGCAATAAATAGATACTCCATTTTACATGAATATTCATTACTGGGGTACAAAGTTGACTAGAGAAACAAAAACTGTCATCATATAAAAATATCCATTAATGAATCATCCACCTGTAAAATTAATCCCCTACTCACCCCTCCTTAATTAATAATTAACATCAGCTATCAGACTCTCACAGATAATCCAACAACACAATGCAAATGAATTGCTAAGCAAATCTGCAAATCTTGTAAAATGAATAGGCTCCCAGGAAGCCTTTAAAAGTGATACTGGAGACTGCTACAATCAAAAGCAAAGTCAGTGGCTGCTATGGGTTAAAACGTGTCCCCCAAAGTTCATGTATTAATTCCCACTGTAACAGTTTTGAGGGTGGGATTGTGAGGACCATGCCCTATGGACTGATCCATTCACGCAGTAATAATTTGATGGTTTAAGGTTGGTCACGGGTGTGGTTCTGATGGCTTTATAAGGAAAGCAAATGAGTAGGTTAGATCTCTCTTGCTCAAGCCATTTGCCATGTGACACCCTGCATCACTGTAGAAAGTCACCACCACCAAGACCCTCACTAGATGTATTCCCTGGACTTCGGAATTCCCTGGCTCTAAAACTGTAATAAATAAATCCTATTATAAATTACGCAGTTTCAGGTATTCTATTATAAGCAACAGAAGTAGACTAATACAATGACGAATAAGAATCTGAAAAATCAGACCAGTTAACAACCAAATAGAAAAGCTATAGGGATAATAACAGGTATTTCAAATAAAGAATGATTTAAATATAAAAGGACTGATAAAGCCACAGAGAAAGATTAAGCTCTTAATTATTTTTTACAAAACTGACTCATTATTTGCTGTAGAAGTCCAATGGGAGTTACAGGATATCTTATTGTGCTCTCCTCCAATCTATGTGTATGTGTATGTCTATGTCTGTGTTTCTGTGATATGCCTATGCCAACAGAGAAGAACACTAGCTAGTTATTTAGTCTAAAAATGAGTTCGGTTTCATGAAGGCAGGAGAAACCATGATGAGAGTAAGAAAAAACTGCTGAGCGTTTCGGGCCGTGGCCATTTTAATGCTGGAGCACATGGAGCAGGAGCCAGCAGAAGCCACAGCTGTGCCCTTTAGATGGAGTTACTTGGAGGTGGCAGGGGAGAAGAGGACTTTGGTGGCCCCCAGGACAGAAAGACCACTAATAGGGTTCCTGTGAACCCACACAGAAGTGAGGAGCCAGAACAGCTGAAAAAGGGGAGACACTCAGAGGCCAGTGAGTCATCGCAAGAGACCAGCACAGGGCCCGTCCCATGGGAAGTGTCTGGAGCACAGGCGGTGGGGGAGACGGGCCCACCAGGAGAACACTGGGACAGCTGGTCCGCGCCCCCGTCAGCACAGGACCACTCAAAGGAGACTGGTCAGGAATGCAGAATTGCATGGGGTGCAGTTTGATGAAAAGACTCAGGCCCAGATCAGAGTTTCTACACAGCACAGGTGCACTGGGGTCTCTAGAGAGCCAGAAGTACCTATAAGGTCAACCATTAAATGCTGAGCTGCACAAAAAGCCTTCCCTAGGGAAACAGCAGCAAAGCAGCAATTTAGCTCAACCACAGCTCAAGTACTGTTTCCCAAAGGAAGTTCCCCCATTTTAGAAGTAAGTAAAGGACAAAAAATTAGTTCCGGCACAGGCGCACCACCAATGCCTTGGTGCCCAACAGGGGACATGAGGCATGGAGTCAGGGGCAGGACCCCTGCCCACAACCACTCACACTGCCAATGCACTGGGGCCCACCCGGCGGCGGGGGCCCAGGGCTAGCAGCCAGGGACCAGATCCCACTCCCACATCCAGGCATACCACGAGTGCCTCAGGGCCTGCCTGGGGACCCAAGGCATGGAGAAGTGGACTGCTCCCCCCCAACCAGGCACACAGCACAAGTACCTTGGGGCCCACAGACACCCCTCCCACAACCAGGCATACCATGCCAGCACTTCGGGGCCTGCCTGGGGACCTGAGCTATGGAGTCGGGGACTGGATCCCCCTCCCACAACCTGGCACAGCACACCTGCACCTCGGGGCCCACCCAGGGACCCGAGGCATGGAACTGGGGACCAGACACTCCCCACAACCAGGCACACCACCAGCACCAAGGAGCAGGCCAAAAACATCACCTCTGTGTGGGAGGTCCACCATAGCCACCACCATAACCATGGTTGCCACAAAAGCTGCTAGACATCACAACCACACACAGATGGTCTGCCAGCCACTGGAGTGCATTGACACAAGGAGAGTCACCAGCAGAGATAAAGAAAAGAAGAGGATGTCTCTCTCCACAAAGCCCATTCCAGAGTGACAGAAGAAGCATCTGCTCTATGATAACATTGGGGTACCGGAACACACCTCTCATCATTAGACAGATCATCTAGGCAACAAATCAACAGAGTAACCATTATTCTTTCAGAAGGAAAGAAGAAATCTAGGGTAATTAGAAGGGAAGGGGGTGAGGGGGGATGGGGAGAGGTTAGACAAGGGGCGTAAAGAATAATTACGGTTTACAACAATATATATGCTAGTAATATTGATTTGATCAACATATCTCAATGTTGAACCCCCAAAATATGTATAATCAATTTTGATTCAATAAAAATTTTTTTTAAATTTTAAAAATAAAAAAATAAAAACGAGCTCAGTTGGAATCATAATCTAAAATGTCAAATATAAAGTTTAGTTTCATTTTTCACAATATACTGTCTTTCTGGGGCCGG